AGGTACTGGTAGTCAAATAGTTCTTCAAGCCAATAAGGCTGCAGAGAATAACACTATTTTCACAAAGAGCCTGTTACTGTTAGCAGAAGTATTTCACAAGAGCTTCCAGGGAGACAGCCTGAGTGAGACACACAAGGTCCTCGGGGAAAAAGCCAAGCAGACAGTTTTTGAGGCGGCCTGCTTTAAAAACGCCTGCGAATTTCTAGAACGTATATACAGCCTTGCTTTGAAGTACATGACTTTGAGGAGCCCCAGAATAAGTTTGCTTAAATAAAAACATCAAAATCCTCACTCTCCACTGTGTTTAGTTACTACGTCCTTATAGCCGAATCCTTTAGGACGAATGTTTGAACTGTTACTCAGAGATCATATGAAAAGTTACCTTGGCTTCATTGCTTACAACAGGTTTGACAGGGAACTGAACTTCTGTGGCTTTTAATATTGTGTTTTCTTGTAGGATGTCTTGCTGTGATTGATTGTGGCCAAATGGCTGAAAAACAAGCACATTATTTTCTTCACGAGAGCTGTCCAACTACTTCGGTTTCACAAATATTTATGCTATAGTAAGTTGTGCACTGTTAATACAAACTACTGACCATTCCATAAGTACAATATTTCAGTAAAGATTTTCTGAATTTCTTCCAATAGCAATGCACACCACCAAAAAGTAAACCAAACAAATATCCATGTAGTCTTTATAACTGTAATCCACAGCCTATTGGAAAGCAGCATTTACACTCAAACTGTAAGATTTTCACACAAGATTTTCCTTACCTTTCTACCATAAAGGCATTGGAAAAAGATTACTCCAACTGACCATACGTCAACCTTATTGGAAATCTTTGGTGGCTCTTTGCCAACTACAAAACACTCTGGGGGCAAGTACCTGGAAAACAAAACATGCACCTCAGCGTATGCAAGGAGACGTATGGCATCACTAGAACTTACTGAAGTATCAGATTATACAGACACATCTTTTAACAACTGTACGGCTGCCTCGTGATCTGCATTCTAACACCTTGCACACCCACTGCAATAGGCATTACAGTTGGTTGTACAGTCAGTCAAACAGGGGGGCCGTTGCATACAAGCATAAATACTGACACTCTCTACATAAAACACTGATTATCACCTTTTTCTTTTTTTAAACTGGGATCCTAGGTTAAACATGAACTGTCTTCTATTAGAGCAAGAAAACATGAAAGCCATATAGATCATCTTACAGCAAGGCCTAGTTAGGGATCAAACATAATGTAGATGTGGCTTAAAGACCCTTTAGCTACGTTTTCAGTAAGAATGATAACATTAATGGTAGACAAAGGTGACTCCTATAGTCTGCAGGAAGGTGTACTTAAAGCTGAGGAAGTTCCTGTGCCCTTCCCAAATTACAGCAGAACTGGGGAGATGGAACTTCCCTTCAAAACCAAGCAAAACCTCCCAAACATATCAGTATGTGGACAGTTCAGTATTACTGACTCTAATACATAAAACTGAAAAAGGCATAAAAACTATTAGAGCAACTGTAGACCTATTAGAGCAAACTATAGACCAGATGCTGTTTCATCAACAGCTTTAAAAGAAATTTTGGAGAAACATTTGCGGAAATAGAAATAAACAGAAAAATGAACTAAGAATGCAACACAAATATGAATTCCACATAGTGGCACAAAATCTCTTCTGGAGTACTCGTGTACAATTCTGGTGATGACATTCAAGCAAAATGAGCTTAAAAGTGATGCAAGTGTAAAGAAAGCTACTAAGATGATCTGAAGAATGGAGAGAGCCTGTAATTCAGGGAAAAAAAAACCCTGAAGGCTGTAAAAGAAACCAAAGGAGCAAGTAGCAGGAAGGGAAATAACCTACTTCAGGGAGGACAGAGTTGGCACAAGAACAAACAAGTATGAACTGGCCACAGATAAACACAGTCTGTAAATTAGAAGATTAAGTTTCTAATGATCAGAGGACTGAGGTGACGGAACACACTTCAAATCAGATTACTGGGGACAAAACACTAACTAAATTTAATACAAACGTCTGTAAGTTTACAAAAGGGATTATGTGACCTGACTGCCTGGCAAGGCAGGTAACTGGACCCAGTGACGGAGGAAATCCCTTCCAGCACCGTGCTGCTGACAGCCTGTGCAATCTGCTCGAAACAGGCTCATCCGCCACCTTAAAGTCAGTCAATTTTCCACCTTAATGAAGATTTTGGGCTCAGAGAAAGTGAGTTAGAAATCCAGACATTCATCATGAACCTATAATGGTCACAGACCCTTTTTGATCTCTTAGTTTAGAGCACCACCAGTGCCTGTGGCAATTTAGATGAAATCCAAAGGTCACATTTTTTTTACATACAATCCTACATTAAAATACTTAAATTGGTGTTTGAACAGGTAAAGCATTAAGTAAGTAGCAAAAGCTTAATACTTCTAAAATTCTTCAACCTGACTAATTGCCTTCTCACAGCACGGGCGCGTTGGCACGTGTGCAAGAGTGTGTGTGTTTTCTTTCCTAAAAATTCTGATGGAGAAGGCAAAATCTTTGTTATGTGCAACTTCCGAACATGGGAGAGGTTGCAGAGCAAAAGGGAATGACATTGGCTTCTCTGTTTAGAGTTGGGTTTCAGCTTCAGACTCTGAACTTGCTACATGCAAAACAAAGAGAGAAAGAGCAAATGAATTAACTAGTACTAACCTGGCCAACACAGGCTCTCTATCCCACTCACCCTGACACAGTTACCATGCACCCAGGCTTAAAGAGCGTCTGTGCCATGAAGAAGCTGCACCTTTTGAAAGCAAACTCTAGAAACAGCTTTTCTGTAAGCAATGAAATGCTTATTGTCATTTCTGTTCTGTGGGCAGGTCTAAAACTTCAGGTTTTTGGACAAGCATGAGAGTGCACACAGAAAACAAATCACGGCTGCTGAGCTGTCATTAACCTTTAGGCTGGAAGAGTAAATACTCTTTTGTCCTAAGGACATTACCTGCTGGTAATCCCTGCTCTAATTTTTCCAAGGACTAAGCACCCACACTTAATCATCACAGCTCTGTCAAACTCTTCAAGCACCTGCAGCCAAAGATTTAACACCTGCTTCTTCGGGGAAACCACATTTCTAAATCATAGCGATAATCTCCACATTTCTTCTTTTTATACACACACACACATATAAATAAATATAAAAACCAGACACACACTCACGCTCTCTTACTTGATATGTCACCATTCTAACATCTGTGAATATCAGCATTCACAGTACTGCACAAAAAGTCTCTGTTTTCCATCCGTATTAATATTTTTAAACCTAGCTCTCTCCAAATTTGCTTTATGAGAGAGCATTTCTGAAATCTGAACAATGACGCAGACTCTAAACAGCAAAATCAACCCAGGCATTACCAGTAAGTTCCTGCTCCCTGTGAAGTTAAATCCATTCCATCTACACCGTAGCTATCATCATCCATTATTTTGGACAGGCCAAAATCAGTAATTTTTATTTCTCCACACGCTGTTCCATCTACAAGAAGGATATTACCTATAAAGGGGAAAAAAAATAAAAATTACCTCAAACAGCTAACAGAATGCTTTATTTTCAAAACCAGGTCCAATTTTCAGGAACATCTAACTTCACAAGGGCTGACTTTACATCATCTTTATATCCTCAAGTCTAGAGTCACTTCACTTTGACACATTTCAGTGCAGTCTCAGGAATTCTCCAGGTTATCATCATCCTCTGAAATGGCTCCCTCAGCTGGGAGCTGGCTGGACAGTGAGGAAGCACCAAAACAGCAGTACACTGGTTGTAATGAAGCAGAGTAAATCCCACGGCTGCAGGTTTCAGGGCTTGCATATGCCAGAAAATCACGCCAAGAAATCGCTGCAATACCGTGAATCTTACTCTGCGCGTTAAAACTGTAAAATAACTTCTTGATGAAGCTCCTCTGAGAACAAAAAAATAATGAGTCTAAGAACTCATTCTGTACAATTCCATAATATGAGAGAAATCGATACGAACAATTTATTACACAGCAGCAAGCACACAGGCTGGCACAAGATTTACATCACAAACCCCACACTTGGAGGTGCAGCAGATTAAAATACATGAAGAATACAAGCACCGTGCATGCAAGGTGGTAAAACAAAAGGCCATGGATTCAAGATGGAATACATTGCTTATGACAATGCTCATTATTCATTGTAAAGAAAACCTCCTGTAAAGCCCCGTTTTGAAGTGCTCATGCTACCATGCTGAAAGTGATCCATTATCTATTTCAATCCTTTACAGGCTAAGAAATAGGTAAGAGAAAAATTATCCACACATCATTCCACAACGATCAGACAGGACTGAGCTAACTAATGGTCTTATCTGTTTATACTGCTAAATATCAATGTATGCATCTATGTGCTATGTGATTTTCCCCCCTCCTACAAATTCAGAGCAAAGTAACACAAAGTAGAAAAGTTATGATAAGCATTTTTCCAAAGAAAAGATAGATTATTTTGGCAGTAAAACTTGAACTGAAAGTATATACTTTTTTCAGTTGCTTACAATAAGCCTGACATACAGAAGAATGTTAGCATTTTCAGGCATGAATTACAAACAAAATAAAGGCTTAAAAACAAACAAACAAAAGACATTTTCAATCGTATCCTTCCTGATTTACCTGGTTTAAGATCATAGTGTATAATAGGGGGCTTGATCTCATTGAGATACCGTAGTGCATTTACTATTTGCATTACAATGGACCTAGCTTCCTTCTCTGACATCAACTTATGTTGCTTGAGATAGAAATCCAAGTCATTGCCTTCACAGTATTCTAACACCGTGCAAAACCTAGAGCAGAATTCAGAAAGACAAAATTAAATAATCTATCCAGCTTCATTATCAGAAATGGAGATACAACAATCTGCTTTGATACTGGCAAGTTTAAGAACTTGAATAAGCCTTGAATATTAAACTATATGAATTAAATTGTTAAGAGAACACATGGTGTAACTATTAGCTTGTGAAACTTGACACAGATCAGAACATCCATACTCATCAAAAGAGAAAATGCATCCATACTGATGACAGGTTAAGTTAAAAAAAACCCTTATTTATGTAGGCATGTTTCTCAGTTAAAAAAAATAAATATTCACTATCCCTTAAGATGTGACACAATTTCATGAAGAGGTGCAGGCCGGTGACCATGGGCTACACTTAGGCTGGTAACGCTCCTGATGTCATTCAGTCTTGGAAACTTGTCTGAGCTACAGCAGCCTTTCAGACCTGCCCTGCAGCAGCCCTTACTCTGCCCAGACACATTACAGCACTGCACGGCCCTTTCACCCTCAGGACATCCTGCAGGGCTTTGCTAGTCAGCTGTTGCAAAACTGTTTTCATCGCTTCATGGAGGGACTGCAGTATCTAGCCGAGACAAAATTCTGCAACTAGTGTTTGTTTGTTTGGGGTTTTGTACAGTTCTCTTAAGGAAACCCTAAGCGCTTTGGCTGAAAGCAAGAACACATTATTTCTGTTAAAATACTCTTCGTTTCTCTTTAATATACAGCACTAAAATCCCCGCCAAGTTCTAGAAATGTTTCATTTCAGGTACTTACGTATCTGTATCCAGGGAGAAGTAGTCATATAGTTTAACTATCCGGGGGTGATCCAGTTCTTTGTGTATTCTATACTCTCTGCAGGCATGTCTAAAGGAAGATGGACACATTAATCTTCTACAATCAATAAAATGCTATTCAATGTAACATACGAAGCGTAAGTCATTAATATTTACTTGTGGTAGTTTTCTTTCTTTTCATCCCTCCAGCTTTTGTTAAGCTGGTGAATCTTCACAGCAGCATATCTTTGTTCATAAAGATCAAAAGCCTGAAAAAGAAGCCCACAAATATGGGAAAGTTATAATCAAAGATGATAAAAATAACACCCAATAAAGAGAGGAATACAATTCGCACATAATTCAAAAGTCTATTGACAAGCCTATTGTAATGCTACCTCCCCCTCCACGGGTTAATCACAGTTTGCTCAACCAGTGTTTAAAGAGTAAGCCACATTACAATCCTTCTGCTTATTTAGATCCTCTCCCTCCCCCCCGAAAATCAAACGTACAAACGTACACAGCCCAAACACCAGCTGCAGCAGACCCAACACACTCTACCTTGTATACTTCACTGAAGCCACCTCGGCCAAGCAAATGGAGTAACAAATACCGTTCATTCAACGTGGGGTGATCTTTAAATCTTCAAAGAAAAGAGATTTCAATTTAATTCTATTTAAGGTATACAAATAGAGTCTACAATGTAAAACTCTTAGTATTACTTCTCAAATGGAACTTTTTACTAGCAGTACCTAATAAGCTGAACACTATGACACCACGTGTAGCTTTACGGCGCAACTACACAACACAGCCAATTTCAGTACCTTTTGACTATTTAATGCACAAATGCTATCACACCACCACTGTCAAAACAGTCAACTCTGACAAACATGTTGTTACTTTATTTTTGTGAGGATGAGAAGAGCACCCTTAACTTTAAACACATGAGACAAGAGTTATCTACTTGTTATGCCGAATTTTGGAGAAGTCTCAAACCTCAGCTTTCTGGGACAGACAAGGAGGATATACTTCCAATTTCACGTGAAACATGACCAGACCTGTTGTACATATTTGCCTCTTTTTGACAAAACTGATTTTATATGACACTAAGAAGTTTACAAATAACAAAGAGCAATATGGGGGAAACACATGAATATCTGACTGAGTATCTGCTCATACTCTAGCCAAAAGCAAGAAGAAAACACTCCTTGCAAACACAAACTGATGCTGCAGGGCAGAGAAAAGGACTATACTATCTCCTGAAATGCACAGAAGACAAAATGTATTCTTCCATCCAACTGGGGAAGGGAGGTGAGTACTCATTGCACTTCTAGTGCAATGATGAGACAACCACACTCCTGAATCTAGGGCCAGCTGCCAATTAGACTCCATAGAAAACTTTAAGGAAGGGTTTAGGGCTAGTCTGCAAATAGGTCATCCCGTCACTCCACGTTCTCTACAGTTTTGGAGATCACAGGTAGTCAAGGATTTGAGGGAAGATGCACATTCTTCCTTACTGTGTCCCTTTTAAACATAAGGCTTCCCTTTTCCTCACTATGAAAATACATATTGCACTACTAAAGACTTTTTTAAAAAATCATAAACAGGAAGTAAAGCACTTAGCGTAGAAGACACAACAAATTCAGAGGTAGCATTTTTAGGCAATTGCTGCCATGTGACCAGTAGCCGAATTCTTTAAAACCACCCTCAACAAATTTAGATTTGCATTTTCTTGGTCCTTATATTACATGTATGCCTCTAGTAGGGCGCACCTTGTGAACCATACCTCTCTGCTACTGCTTTTGCTATTCTGTGTGGCTCTCCATGGCTGACACGCTGCACCTTGCAGGTAGCCCCAGCACCACACGGGCCCTAAAACCAGACAGGGAAGCCCTAACCCGCATTCTCAACTTGTGAAGAATGCACACAGACATACAAGTTTACCCATCTCTAACCTGGGAAATATTTCCTACTTCTCGTTGTCAAGGCTGGAACCCTGAAGAGGTGAGTTTGCTGTCTACTTTATAACTGGGATGCCTGAGGAAGGCATACGTGGGTAGAGGGACACAGAGGGGAAGGTTGCTAGAACATGAAAGAAGGCTCAGTTTTGCACCACAGCTGGAAGCTGAAAACCCAACAGGATTTGAGTCAGGAGCCATCAGTTGCTTTGCTTCAGAACCATCTCCCTTATGAAATGACCAAGTTGCCAAGATGTGTTACGGAAGACAGCGGGGCTGCGGATGTAAATGACTTCTCCATTGCTTCTGTCTTCTATATTATGAGTGTAAGCTGCAGCTTGGCCATTTGGTAAATACTCAAGTCTAAACTCCCACAGAAACACGAGCACAGTTTACAGCTTTTCATTCTGTACCATAAAATGTGTAAACATTGACTACAGAAAACAAGCAGTGAAGCTGCAGTATTCTGCTTGTCCATGGCCTATTACTCAGTTTTCAGCTGGGACTGTAATTCATTCTTCACTCCACATACGCAGTATCTACACAGTCAAAGCCTGTAATTTTTCTGTGGCAAATCCTTCAGTTGAAGGACACCTTTCCAAAAAAATAAAGTTACTTTTAGAAAATCTTCTGCCATGAACACTGAAGATTAAAAAAGGTTATCATTTAACCTGCAAAGAACTGCTTGATTATTTGCTGCAGGACATTTGTTTTTAAAAGAAAATATTTTGCCATAGAATCGTAACCATCAACGCTCATTTTTCATATCCAAAACACAATGCCAATTTAGCTATCAATTAGCACTACAGGCACATGGTAACAAAAATTATCCGTACTCCTGCAGGGTAGGTATGAGGACCATTAAAAAATTAAGTACACCTCCACATCCCATTGCTTTAAGGTTTAGATGTCTTAGTGTATGTATAATTCTAGTGTGTCTAAAAAGTAAAAAAAACCAAAATTCTAACATGTTAAGGCTACTGTTTCAGAAACAAGCCCAGTCTCATCACCTCTTTCCCCCTGGCTGCTCATTCTACCCCGGCACTGCCTTCTCTCCTCATGGCAACATAAGCATCTTTGCAACTGGGGCAAAAAACTAGACCAGGAAAATGATCCGGTGTTAAAACTAATCCAGAAAAAGAAGCCACAGCAGCTGGTTTTAACTTGGATCGATTTGCAGCATTTGTTCAGTGAAGAAATGCCACTGCAAGCATGTGGAAGGAAGCAGGGCAAGGGCATAATGAAGTAGTCAGGCATGGGCAGAATCGGTTCCTTTCAAGCCACAGTGCCAGCTTAAAGTGCTGTTGAAATCGTAGTGTTAGTGTTTGTATGCACTATTACGGAAAACAGACTAATTGGTTTTAGTTATCTAATCAGTACTTTCAAATCTACATAGCAAGAGCTACCAACACTGTAACGTGATGATACATTGCCACGCAAGCTGAAGCACAGAGTAACATCTAACATGATACAAAAGATTTTGCATTTGTCTTTTTCCTACTAGGAAATTTGCCTTTTTCCAGCTAGGTACCTGTGCCTCGTGGGAATGAAATTACAGTGCAAGAAAACCCAAACTAATCTGAACTGCATCACAAAAATCACTGCTGTTGCAAACCTCCCCACCATTTTCTGGGAACCTATTGTCCATTAAGTTCCCTTATAAGTGTTTTTTTTAGCCTAGTAAAACAGTCCAGCAAGTTTTGTCATCGATACACTGTAAGCTGTGCATTTACGTTATTTCTTGTGCACTCAATAAAACCATTAATAACTTCACCAAATTGTAAGTAATTCTACTATTTTTAAAGTTTAAATAAGTTGGGTGTTTAAAATACACGCATAAACGAAAAGAACCAAAGAAAACTTAATGAACGAGCCTCTCTCCTGTAGGTAAAATGTGATTTAGAGCCTTATTTTAAAAACAGAAACGCAAAATTAGGACAGAAAGTCTTACTGTGAATTATCTTCATTATTTATTCTTTTCAGTTCTCTTATGTGAAGATTCCTAACTCTTTCCAAACGTTCAAGTTCTGCTTGTATTTCAGCTTCCTCCTGCAAATGAAAAGAATGAAATATAAAAGCTTATTTACTCCCCATTTGAAAAGGATATTTTTACCCCTACATCAATATTAGTGGCGGTGGAGGAACATTACATTATAAAACCCCGCTGGACTAGAAGAAAGCACTGCTCTGCTCTTAAAGCCAGGAAAAAATTCAGAAAGATGAGGAAAAAGCCTGTTTCAAGGAACCTTCCTGTCCATGAACCCACAGGTAATGGGATGTTCACGGTTTTGTTCTGTGCTGTAGGGATGCTATTTGAAACGAGAAGGGGCTGGGTTTTGTACCTCAGCCAAGGAGAGAAATTATCTGGGAAGCGGTCTGAAATTGGTGTACAGAGGAGAAAAAGACTGAGATGTGTGCAGTTATAGATTTTGTACAAACCGACAAATGAAGAGAAGATGTTTAGAATATTTCAGGGCTGAAGTGCAGACCGGAAAAAGAATAAGTCATTGCAGCAGCAGCATTCTGAAGATGTTGATATAAGACACCAAAACCAAATTAATTTAAAAAGATTTTTCCATTTTTATCTTATTAAATAAAATTACAAATGCAGAACGTGTCTTGCCTAAGGTTTTGAGAGCAATTTCAAAAGAAGCATGTCAGGCATAAGCACATTCCCAAACTAATTTCAGTACTTAAAATTATCTCATCTTTATGCCATATATTAGGGAACACTGAAATAGTTGTTTATTCAGATTCACTAAAATAGTAAAGAATTCACAGACTCACAGAATATGAGGAGTTGG